CTACCTTGGATGGGGTAAGAAATAGGATAGATATTTTCACTAAAGTGAAATAAACCTCTGTTTTTCATAATTTTGGTTTTTAGAACAATGTAAATCTTTTGCATATTCAAAAAATTAAAGAGAAAAAAGGAAATACTACTATTGAATGTAAATAGAAGTTAATCTGTTTGTCATATTCAAACAGAGAAAAGAATTATTTCAAGTAGCTTTTGAACACAAGACTGTCCATCCATAGTGGAGATATATATATATACACACACATACACAGTATGTATATATATATATATATCCTCCATAGCTGACCACCTCCTGACATTGACCACTTCCTTGAGTTGACCTAATTTTCGCAGACCAGGCATATACCACATGTACATTAGTGTAGTAGACCTACTTCCTTATGTTGACCACCTCTATATGTGACCAATTAATTTGTTATAATCCCTTGGGTGTTCAAATTATAGAGGTTCTACTGTACATTAGACAAAAGGGAAAGAAACAACATCAAGGTTTTAAAGATACTTTCAACTTTGCCCAGTGAGCTTAATAAGCAGCTAGTGTATTGTTTATAATGATATTAATATACAATATAAATTATTTCATGTGTAATCTAGGATGAAGTAAATATTAATATTTAAGAGAGAAAAGATAAGAACTTAACAAAAAGTCTTGTAATGTTAAATTGTTAGATTTGAATTGGAAATATTATGAATCATAATTTCACAAAATGTTTTCTAGCTCTGACTACTGAAAGAACTAGAAGCAGTGATACCCCAAATTACACTGAGCACATCTATCGCCCAGATTTGTTTTCTTTTTTTTTTTTTTTTTTGCAGAAACAGAATTTAACTTTATCACCTTTGGTGGAGTACGGCGGTGTCACACGGTTCACAGCAACCTCCAACTCCTGGGCTTAGGCGATTCTCTTATCTCAGCCTCCTGAGTAGCTAGAACTATAAGTGTCCACCACAACGCCTGGCTATTTTCTTGTTGCAGTTTGGCTGGGGCCGGGTTTGAACCTGCCACCCTCAGTATATGGACCGGCGCCTTACCCGCTGAGCCACAGGCACCGCCCCCAGATTTGTTTTCTAAAGACTATTTCCTAACATTCTTTAACAGGGCTCCTTAGAGAAAATCTAGGTCTAAAAGTACAGGTGAGCCTAAGAGCCAGGAAGCTCAGAGATGAAGGAGTAAATGGAGTGGCCAGAGTAGGAGGTGGAGGATCAAGGTTGAAAAGCCACTGGAGTAGGTTCAAGGTCTCCCACTGGGATAGTTGAAGTATTAAAAAAAAGGGAAGAATGTAACTGATTGTAATATATTGAGTACCTGAAAATCCATGTGTATAGGGTAATCTCTACATAAAAGGAAAGCAAACATAAGAAATTTTTTATGTGAAGAATACCAGCTAATAAATATAAAAGAATTATCAAAATTACCATTATTTAACACTACTCCACCACCCCCACCACCCCAGTTTAAGTTTTGATTCAGGCACAGATCTCAATGGAAGTTAAAGCCACACTTTTCTTTAAGTGTATGTAAAATTTATCATAATAAAAGGATGGGGGAAATAGTGATATTCAGAGAAAAAGACATTGATTAAGTGTTTCATTCTTTCATGGAAATCTCAGCCATGCTTTTGTAAGCAGACTTGGTCCACCACTTGAGTTTCAGTACTAGACATTTGATACATGAATATTACAGGGTTATTGTCTAAAGCACTTATTTCTAAGGAAAGGATGTTATTCCAGTGGTTTTCCTAGATTTATATTCACTTTGTTTTTCTGTGCCCGTCATGGCTGGGCAAAGTACTAGTCATGTCTGCGGGCATTACTTCACTTCCTAGAGACTTAGGTCCGATGAGGGGAGTGATGCTCAGAGAGGTCAATTATTGTGTCCAAGCAAAAGCATGAGTAAGTGTCAAAATGAGGGCTCAAACCTGGGTCTTATGGGCTCCAGGGCCTTTTCCCCCTCACAGACCAGGGCCTGCCCCATGGATTAACTCAGCACATAGCTTCAGGGGCTTGCTTTCAGCGTCTGTGAGAGAGGAAGGCACAACAACACAAAAGCGGAACTGAGGAAGACCAGGAGGGAGAGGAGAGGCCTCCTGGATGTCTCATAAGAATGTGTGCTTTGATTAAACGATTCCTGAGTAGGGAACAGCTGACCTTCATTCTACTGGGGGGAAAAAGTGAAGAGCTAGAAGAAAAATACAATTTGCTTCTTTTTATTCTCTCATATCAGAATGAAGAGGGAAGAGATTTATACTGTTTCTAAAGTGCCCCAAATGTCCTCGGTAGTATAATTATATCATACTTATGTTCAAGTGACTAGGGCAGGGAACAAGAGGAATGTGAGTGCTCTTAGTGCAAGGCAAAGGTCACATGTCAGGCACTCTTGGAAAACTGACTCCAGCTTCAGTTGTACTCATAGTGGAAAACTTCAGAAGTCTACAATAGTACTTTTAACCACTTGAATTAAAAAAAAAAATACCTAGGAGGTTCGGGCAGCTCATCCTTATAATCCCAGCACTCTGGGAGGCTGAGGCAGGTAGATTGCTTGAGCTTGAGAGTTCCAGACCAGCCGGAGCAAGAGCAAGACCCTGTCTCTTAACAGATAGCTGGGGCATTGTGGCAGGTGCCTATAGTCCAGCTACTTGGGAGGCTGAGGCAAGAGGACCTCTTCAGCCCAAGAGTTTGAGGTTGCTGAGAGCTATGATGCCACGACACTATACCAAGAGTGACAAAGTAAGACTCTGTCTCAAAAAATAAAGTAAAATACTTAGGAATCAATTTAACCAAAGATCTGAAGATCTATAAAAGGAAAACTATAAAACACTGATGAAAGAAACTGAAGAGGACACAAGAAAATGAAAGGCTATTCGATGCTCATGGATTGGAAGAATTAATATTGTGAAAGCAATTTACAGATTTAGTGCAGTCTCTATCAAAATATAAATGACATTCTTGACAGAAATACAAAAATGATTCTAGGATTTACATAGAACCCCAAAAGACCCCCAATAGCCAAAGTAGTCCTGATCAAAAAGAATAAAGCTGGAGGTATCACAATACTTGACTTCAAAATATACTACAGTACAAAGCTGTAATAACCAAATCAGCATGGTACTGGCATAAAAACAGGAGCATAGACCAATGGACCAGAATGGAGGATCCAGATTTAAGTCCATTTAAAGCCAACTCATTTTTGACAAGGGTACCAAGAACATACAATGGGGAAGGGATAGTCTTCAATTAATGATTCTGGGAAAACTGGATCACCATATGCAGAAGACTGAAACTAGAGCTCTACCTTTCACCCTCTATAAAAAGTCAAATCAAAATAGATTAAAGGATTTACATCTAAGACCTGAAACTATGAAACTACTAGAAAAAAATGTTGAGGAAACACTCTAGGACATTGGTCTGGACAAAGATTTTTTTGTACAAAACCTCAAAAATACAGCTAAAGCAAAAACGGACAAATGGAACTACATCAAGCTGAAAAGCTTCTGCACAGCAGAGGAAACAGTCAGTGAGGAGATAACCCACAGAATGGGAGAAGATATTTGCCAGCTATCCACCTGACCACAGATAAACCAGAATTTATAAGGAGCTCAAACAACTCAATAGCATAAAAACAAACTATTCAATTAAAAAATAAGCAAAAGATTTGAATAGACATTTCTCAAAAGAAGATATATATAATCTGAAATAAGTACTAAAAAGAAATTTTAAAAAGAAGACATGTAAATGGCCAAAAAGAATAGAAAATGCTTAACACTACTAATTATCAGAGAAATGCAAATCAAAACCACAATGAGATACCATCTGACCCCAGTAGATTGGCTTTTATCAAAAAGGGATGACATACGCTGGGGAGGATGTGGAGAAAGGGGAATGCTCGTACACTATTGGTGGCAGTGCAAATTAGTACTGCTAATACGGAGAACAGTATAGAGGCTACTCAGAAATTATAAGTAGAACTACTGTATGATCCAGCAATTTCACTACTCGACATAGCAAAAAGAAAGGAAATCAATTCATCACAGCACTCCCATGTTTATTGCAGCACTATTCACAGTAGCCAAAATATGGAATCAATTTAAGTGTCAGTGGATGAATGGATAAAGAAGATTTGGTATATACAGACAGGCACACACAAGTGGAATATTATCCATAGAAAAAAATGAGTCCTGTCGTTTGCAGCAAGAAGGATGGAACTATAAATCATTAAATGAAAAAGCTAATCATAGGAAGACAAATTTTTCATGATGTCATTCATCAGTGGGAGCTGAAAAAGTGCATCTCATGTAAATAGAGAGTAGTTTGGTGATTACCAGTGGCTGAGAAACGTGGGAAGGAGGGGTTAATGAAGAGGGCTTGATTAATGGGTACAGACAGACAATTAGAAGAACTAAGACCTGATGTTCAGTAGATCGGTAGGGTGACTAGTTAATATGAATTTGTTGTATGTTTCAAGATAGCTAGAAGAGAATAATTTGAATATTTCCAGCATAAGAAGAAGATGAATATTTAAGGTGTTGGGTTATCCTATAACATCCAGATAACTGGGATATTATTACATGTACCCCTAAAATCATACCTCTAATATGTATCAGTAAGAATAAACTTGTAAACTTAAAAAAAAAATGTCTTTATGGATTTGAATCTCATGCACTCAGGAGCTAATGGGTCAATTTGATAGAAAACACAACTTCTGTCTTTACACTTCAGAAGTCACTGGCAAGAAACTTGGTTTGGTCTCATTTAAGACCCAAATGACACTGAAGCCTCTGCCAGTGAATTCCACTTCTTTTCCGTGTCCTTTGATCACTTTTTCAGGTAAAGGTTTTGAAAATAATGTTGTAGAACTAAATTTCATGGTTTCTGGACTTTGTCTTCATTCTGATTTAAAAGAAGTGAATTCTCTTGCTTTTCACCGATGTGTTTTTTAAATCTTAGGGACAGTCATTCTGAAAGTGGCTTCCTCTTTCCCTCCAGACAAGGCACCTCTGTCGAAGAGTCTTCTGCTGGTCCCGAGTGCCCTGTCCCTTCTGCTGGCCCTCCTTCTGCCTCACTGTCAGAAGTTCTTTGTGTATGACCTCCAGGCAGTCAAGCACGACTTCCAGGTGAGCTCTGCAGCATTGGCCTCCAGGAGGAGAGAAGGCAGATTTTGTTTCTAGATTGTCTTTTCTTCCTGCTATTAGTCCATCAAAACTCCTGAATGTGTAAGAAGTAACTATTAATAATCTGTTAGTAAATAGGTTTTCTATTTGTGTTTATTAGTGTTTCCAGCAAAGCAGATAATAATGAACCAATTGAAACATTGCCTTTCATTAGGCACGTCTGTTTTCTGTGTCATTTTTTACTCATGGAAATGCAATTTATAACTTTAAGGAAATTAAAAAGAATGTTAAATCTTATTTTTTTAATGCTCAGAATGCATACTTAGATTTTCCAAAAACTGTCTCAGTTTGAATATTTGATTAGTTGCCCTAGCTCTTTTAGCTGTAACAGATTATAAATTTATGATTACTTAGTACAGTTGTGGTTAAACCAAGTAGGCGATTTCTCCTGTATTTTTGCTATGGGAAAGAGCAGAACTGTATGGCTTTTCAGGTTTCTGGACTGATCTCATTGAAAATGCTGGTGCTGGATGTCTTCTCTGTGAGATGGATTATTAGTGCAAATTCTGGCATACGACTTGCTACCCTTTCTTTTATAAACACTTGATTAGCCATTTTAAGCATAATTATTTCTTGAATACCAATACGTTTTCTTGATATTGGTGTAATTAACACCATTGCTCAGATGGACTTCACCAAGTCCCTGTGAAGGTCTTCCTTGCAGAATGTAGTATTGCTTCTATATTATTTCACTTGCTATAATGAGGTCATTTTCAACTCTGGCCACACATTTGAACAACCTAGAGACTTAAAAATTGAAAATATCTATACCTGTAGATCTAAATAAACCCATGATCTTACCCTACATCAACTGAATCAGAGTCTGATGGTGGGGACTGGGCATTTGGGTACTTTTAAAAACATTTCCTAGAGAATTCTAGAATTTGGCCAGCCTCAAGAACTGCTGCTATAAGGAAATATAAGGGCCCGCGGGCCCTGGGTTGGTAACTTTATGTTTTCTGGGATTAATTAGTTTTGCCTCCTAAGCCCACTTTGTGGGTATCCATACTTGAAATGCTTGAAAGGTGGTAACCTCCCTGGGTGGAAGAGGACTGCTCTTCTGTACAGGAGTGTGAATGGCCACACCCTCCTGTCAGAACTCCAGGTTCTCAGTGTGTGTTCATAAGAGCTGCTATGGAGATAGGAGGAGTTGCTGTTCTGCCTTGAAACTCTAAACCCACACATACATGTGAAAACATGACACGGTAGGACACAAGTGTACATTAAATCCTTAGGGGATGATATGGGAAGTAGGGACTGTAAGCAAGGATATAGTCCTGGAGAGCCTTAAGGATGTGCATTTTCAGTTTGGTATGAAGAAGGGATAGCTGTCCATTAGCAATAAAGGGGAGAGGGGCATTTTACTTCAGACCTTAGGAATACAGTAAAGGAAGCATGTTTTGAGACTAATACAAGCTTAGATTGTATGAGTCCAGGAGGAGTGGCTGATTGACGGCTTTGTTTGTAGTTTCTAAATCTCCCAGATTTGGGCAGCTAAGGTGGAAATTGGGGCAGTTTTCTTTAGGTTGAAATGCAGAAGGAGCGCTTTGTTGAGTGTAAGCCAGTGATCAGTCTCTAGTGGACATTAACCTTCAGGATTAATACGCCGTAGTTAATTCTTTTATCAGGTCTTTGTGTCCTTGAATAGTTCTAACATGTAAATTATGTAAAACTATATCAATTTTATATTAACTAAAAATACAAAAACCAAAAAACAAATGGGGTTCTATAAATGCAATTTGTTATATTTTAATAATCATAAAGTTTTAATTTTCTTTTCTTTTCTTTTTTTTTGAGACAGAGTCTCAAGCTGTTGCCCTGGGCAAAGTACTGTGGCGTCACAGCTCACAGCAACCTCAAACTCTTGGGCTTAAGCGATTCTCTTGCCTCAGCCTCCCAAGTAGCTGGGATTACAGGTGCCCGCTACAATGCCTGGCTATTTTTTGGTTGTAGTTGTCATTGTTGGTTGGCAGGCCCAGGCTGGATTCAAACTCGCCAGCTCTGGTGTATGTGGCTGGTGCCCTAGCTGCTGAGCTACAAGCACCGAGCCACATCTTAATTTTCTTAATCCTCAGATTTTCCTAGTGGCTGTCAGGGATCGGTCCTGAGTTATTTTCATTTTAATATTAAATGTGAGGACAGAGGACTTGGAGCTGCCTTTCATTATTTTTGAATTTGCTGTTCTGCAAAGATGATAGTCATCATCCATGTTAGATTGGTGAAGTACTTGACACTTTGCCAGGTACTCTCAAGTATACTTTCATATTGAGGATAGTAGATGCAACCTGAAGTTTCTGAGGGAGGAAAGAGATTTAGTTTGGAGATGCCACCTGTAAGACACGTGTGTCCATGTCGATCATTCCTAACTAATCATGGTCCTGACTTTTCCTTGAACCAAGCTATGGCCTCAACACAGGCTTGCAGGTAGCCCCCCTACATTCCTCTCATCTAGGTTGGCAGGTGAAATGAACTCTAGTGGCCATCCCTGAACTACTTCAATGCCCTCATATTTTGAAGTACATTCACAAAAAAGGCTGCTTGATATCTTGCTTGAAGTAGAGACAGAGTAGTCAGTTTTCTTATTATTGCTGTTGGCAAAAGTATTGGTTGTATGACTTTAGACAAATAAAATATTTGCTCTCTACCTTTTTTCTTGTCTTAAGTTAGGGTTCATATTACCAGTGTTCACAGCAGCATTATTCACAATAGCCAAAAGGTGGAAACAACCCAAATGTCTATCAGCAGACAAACAAAATATGGTATATATTGTGGGATGTTACTCAAACATGAAAGAGAATGAGATTGATAATACTGTGTACATGCTTTAGCATAAACCTTGAAAACATTATGGCAAAGTGAAATAAGCTAGACACAAAGACAAATAAATATATGATTCCTCTTACATGTTGTATCTAGAATAAGCAAATTCATAGAGATATAAAGTAGAATAGTGTTTACTGGGGACCAAGCGAAGAGGATATGGGGAGTTAGTGTTTAATGGGTACAGAGTTTCTGTCTAGGATAATGAAAAAATTCTGGAAATGGATAGAGGTGATGGTTGTATAACATTGCTCGTGTTCTTAATACCTCTGAGTTATATGCTTAGTAGTTAAAATAGTACATTTTATTTTATGTCCATTTTACCACAATAAAAATACCTAGAAATGACAGGATTAATATTTTACCTATCTTGTAAGTTAATTGTGAAGGGGAAAGAAGATCAGAATTTTTTTGAAATGTCATTAAAGTTATCTTTAAAAATCTAAAAAATGTTTTAGAAGACTCAAAATGGTCTTTTAAGTAGCTACTCTTTGTATATTTCCATGTAAGTTTTTCACCTAACCAGACATTGGGTGAAATAATGATTTAAATAAACTAATAGTTAATAATAATTTAAATTAACTAATATTTTAAACCTAGACATATTTAGCAGTAATTGCCATAGTTTACCTTGTATATAGTTGCCATGAAATAGGTTGATCATTACAATTAAGCTCAGGAATATATATTTTTGAATTTGTACCTATATTGTTTTTCAGTTACAACTTTGTTTTATTCAGTAGCATGAAGATGAACATTTGTTAGCCATTCATTTCAGCTATGTATATAAATTTTTATCTTACTAAAAGTAGTCCTAAAATTTTTTACAAGAAGTTTTCTGTTATCTTAATGAGACTGTATTTTCTTCTAATAAGCAAAACAATTTTAAGTACCCTTTGTGCTGCTGTTGGAAAGAATGTTTAGTATGAGAAAGTTGAGCTGATTTCTCAGAGAACATACATTTTAGTTTTCCTTTTGTGTGTGCATTGTGCTTTTGCTTAAATTAGAATATTAAAGATAGGTATGTAAAGTAAGCATAATAAATTTGCTAAGGAAGAGACCTGAACAAATCTTACTCTTATTTCTTGTTCTTTTTTAATCTTCATCTAGATTTGGAGGTTGATATGTGGAAGAATAATTTGCCTTGATTTGAAAGACACTTTCTGCAGTAGTCTGCTTATTTATAATTTTAGGATATTTGAGAGAAGATATGGAAGCAGAAAATTTGCAGTAAGTTTTTTTGTGTTCTGCTTTTGCTACTTAGGTAAGGGGAAAATTTTGTTTAAATGAGTTTTATTTTGTTAAACATGGTGTTATTATTTACAGTTATCTTTTTAATTACTTGATCCTGTATCTGTTTTGAAACATGCACATTAACCAAAGAAAATTTAAAAATTTAAGCCACTAGCATAATAATAATGATAATAGATAATATTAGGTGTGACTAGATATTAAAAAAAAAAGTCTCATTGTGTTGCTCTTGGTAGAGTGCCATGGTATCACAGCTCACAGTAACCTCAAACTTGGAGGCTGAAGCTATTCTTTTGCTTCAGCCTTCCAGGACTATAGGTACCCATCACAATGCCTGGCTTTTTTTTTGTTGTAATTGTCATTGTTGTTTACCAGGCCCAGGCTGGGTTTGAATCCGCAGCCCTGGTGTATGTGGCTGGTACCATAACCACTAAGCTATGGGCACCAAGCCCAATTATAAAAATAATTAAAACTTTAATAAAATTAAAATTACTTCTTTTGCTTAGTCATATGTATTGCTTGTTAAAAATATTTCTTGCTATGGACCATTTCTTTAGCATACTCAGAAATTATGGAAGTTAATACATTTGAACAATATGATATGGATTTACTCCTTAATTTTGAAGTCTGTTTTAATAGAAACAGATAACTCTTAAAACCTGTATATAACTGAGCTGTTTTTGAGTAAATGTTACTTTATTTTTAGGAGACTCATCTCTATAATTTTTTCCCTGTTTTTATCTTTTAGTCCTTTTTGCTGGGTTCCTGGATTTTGTCAGCTTTTTTTGACTTGATCCTTGTTGAAGTGATCCAATATTCCTTTGGTATCACTGCAGCCAGTAATTTGCCTTCTGGATTGTAAGTAGCTGTTAAAGATTAAGTTAATTTAAAAATATTTAAATGTGATTTAAAGTGTTTTTAGATGTGAAAGTCAGTAAAAAACTATTTTCAACTCTTAGATATAGTAAAATTGATTTTATAAGTAAGAAAAATCCAGTATGTTTGCCTATATTTTTATTATGTTCTTGGAACAGAATCAAGTTTTTTTAAGGTTTGAAATTTCATGTTTTAGAGAATTTTTAGTAAATTTCCTATTCTGCTATTGAAGATAGAATTAAGAATTAGTTTTATGTTTTTGTAATGAAATTTGTGTAATTTTATGAACTATTAAATAAAAATATATACATTTAATTACATTAGGCAACAAACTAAATTTACATGAAGTTAAACTTCTGAGGAATGATTTTTTTAAAGCTGATATTGTTTATATACTTCCACCAAACATAAAATGAAGTCAGCCTATGGGTGATGACTGTGTAGAGAACCTACAATGGCCAGCCTTACTCAGAGTGTTTAGACTTTCATATTCTGATATGGATTTTAAAAAAACTATTTGTTAGGGTATGAAATAACTGGTATCTAGGAGTGGAGTTGTTAGCATATACAAGTGACCTTAAACACATCTGAATTAAGTATCTGGGACTATATTTGGGAGATGAGATAGTGGGAAATATCAGATATTTAAAATTTTGTGTGTACTAACTTCCAGTCTTCATTTGATTTTAGATATATGTGTTTGAGATCTATTAGGCTATTAGATGTATCTTGATTTGATCTCTATTTTAAAAATATAATTAGCATTCTAATAGCTGCAGACTTACATTGGTAATGGTTATAGTATAGTTGCCATTTGTGGGATTGACTAAATTATAGTTGTAATGAATATACTTGAATGTTGATCTTTAGCTATTTTAATAATGGATGATTTTTAATAATATTTGATAGGAGACAGGTAAAGTTTTATGTCATAATTGTCATACAGTTTTTGTTTAGTTTCAGGGGTTATAATTGTAATTACACTGCAAAGTTTAAGTTGACTGTTCTGTTATTGTAGAAAATGGCATAGTCATCAGGTAGGATTCCATATTGATTCAGGCAAGAAGCAGTGTTGCTACATCTCATCCAGGCCAGTTCTTTTTGGTTCTCAGTAAGGCCGATTGAGTTATGGAAGGTATGTGTGTGTCATGTGTTTGAATAAATTTTGAGGGTGGATAGTAACATAACTTTAATTCTTATTTACATTGTCCTCTCATCTGGTGACACTTTTTGTGTATATAGAATTAAATGACAGCAGAACATTCATTTTTTTCAATATGGAATCATTAACTGGTACATAGAAAGAAGATTGATTCAGTTTAAAGATGATGAGAGTATTTTTACTTGTTCTTAAAGAGGGAAGTCATTTACCTAATTTAAATCTCAGTTTGTAGTGAGAGTTGCAAACTTGAATACATTCTAAAGTTAAAATATCTCTTTTGAGAGACAATATGAATGTTAATGCAGGTATATTTTTCTTCTTTAAGTCTTAGAACATTACAATGTGTAGTGTGACTTTTTAATATCTTGAGGCTTTCTCAATCAAAATTTCTTGGAACATAAATCTTCAAGATATAAACTTTGCATTTTGTAAATGTATCTTTTATTAATGGTAGCAAAGCTTCAAAACCTCAAGAGAGGAAACTATTCATTTTAAAAATCAGTATGCTTTACAACTAGTCATGATGTGTTTCTGTGTTTCTCCCCTCTCCTCTTTTGTCTTCTCTTTTCTTTCTTTCTTTATTTTTTTTTTTTTTTGGAGATAGGGTTTCTTTCTTTTACCAGAGCTAGAGTGCAGCCTCAATCTCCAGGGCTTAAGTGTTCCTCCTGCCTCAGCCTCCCGTAATGCCAGGATTATAGGTGTAAGCCACTTTGCCCAGCCATAGTATTTTTGATATAACATCTTACTCTTTTTCTTTCTTATCAGTGCCAAAGTTATCTGCACTCTCTGCAGTTTTTCACTTCCTATTTAATTCTCAGTTGCTTTTTAATTTCACTGCTATTGAAACTTTTCTCATAAAGGTGACTGGCAGCCACCTAATTTTTAAAGGCACTGGTCATTCTGTTTAACTTTTCAGTAGCACATTAAATGTTTTTAACCTTTCCTTATTTCATGAAATAACCTGCTCTCTTGAGTCTCAACATATTGCTCTCTCTTGATCCTTTTTGACCTTCATTCCTGTGTGCATCTGTTTCTCAAGTTTGCTCCAAGTGGTTTCTTTGAGTTATCTGGTCCACTGCCATGACCTCAACCACAGTGGACATCTGTTGTTTCCCTACTCTCTCTTTGCACCGCATACTAGCATCTCCTGATCTTTCTACAGTCATTATTTCTTAGTGATATCTAGGCTCAAAGAGAATTCCTCATGTTTGGAAGCTCTTATCACCTCTGTTCTCTCTACTCTCTTCTCTCCTCCTTCTGTACCTCTTAATTGTAGTTAATGACATTTTCTTCTGCTCAGTCGTACAATATAGAAATCTTTCCCTTATCAGTGGGGTAGGGCACTGCGTCTTACTAACTTGAAGTCCTGAATAATTTATTCATTCATCCCTTCTTTATGTCTGTTGTCATTATCTCAATCTAGTATTTTCTCACCTAGTTAGTTATAGTAATTTTCTTTAAGTAGTCTCTCTATTAATTTCAAAGCATTCCATACAATCTGTTATAAGTTATCTTTCTAAAATACAGGCTTGGTCATGCCAGTGCTCCTTTTAAAAACTTTTAAATTCTCATTTCCATCAGAGTAAAGGTCAGGATACCATCAAGGTGGTCTTGAATAGTGGGAATGTCATGGTCTTTGTCATCAGACCAGATTTGAGATTCTAGCACTGCCACTCATTAGTTATGTGAAATCTTTATCAGGTTACTTCTCTAAAGTTCCCTTTCCTAAGCTCCTAACAGTAAGCACACAATGCTTCTATGTGTTAGTTTTCTTCGTTTCCTTCCCTTCCTTGTCTATCTATAAATGATTTGGGGTCTCACTATGTCACCCTGGCTGGCCATGAACTCCTGAGCTCAATTGATTCTCCGGCCTCAGCTTCCTAAGTAGCCGGGATTACAGGTGTTACCACCTCCCCTGGCTCTTTTTTCCGTTCAAAGCCCTCGACTGATGACCAGCCATCATCAATCATTTACCTCTCTTAATATGCTGTGAATTTGAACTCTCATGCCTGCTTGGCTTGTTTTCTGTTCCCTCTTGCCCTTTGGCAGGATTAATTTCCTTTCTCTACATACTATAACAAATTTATTAATATCCCCGTTAGTTATTTATTACATTGAGTTGTCATTATCTGCGCCTTTTATGTCACATACACTCTTTGAAGGAGAACCAAGTTTGACTTTATGTACTCATTACCTTACACTCAGTAATGTTGAAGGGCTAATTGTGATTACAGCATAGCCCCAGTCTATAAAGGGAAGGCCATTGCCTCTTGGACCTGTTCGTCTCTTTTTTTAGTGTTTCGCGTAGAAATTGTACCTGACATATGATAGAAGCTCATGAGTATTATTTACATTCAGAAAATATAAGCATTAGGTTTTAAAAGTTAAAGATAGCTCCATCATTAAAAGTTATATATGTTAGGCATTTCTAGTAACCTACGCCTGTCACACATCTGTCCTTATATGGTTATTATTTTTTAATTGTTAGTATTTATGTGTAGATGTTACATTGTTTTCCAGAATCAAACCCCTCCAGAATACAATGGGATTTTAAATGTTTATGTATCATATTAAAATATATTTGATTATAATGCTAAATGAATTATTTTAAAACTAACTTTTTAATTATCTATAATTAAATTATAATTTAGATTATTTACAGTTTTATTGTGACAACCATGACGTATTTCACTTTGTTAATTTCACATCAACAGTCTTTTTTGGACTCTTAGATTAGACTCTTACCAAGAAAAGCTATTGTAGAGAACTTACTGTCTATTAAATTTAAGAGTATGTTGATCTATACAGTTGAAAGTGGGCTCTGACTGTATACATGTGTGCCATAGCCTATGTATCAGATACAGATACAATACAGATATAAAGGTTATTTCTCTTGTTTTAGAAATAGTTATTTGTTAAAGATATTAAAGTATCTTAATTATTCAAACTAAAAACTTCAGTGTTTTTTTTTTCTTTGTTGAGAAAGCACATCTCAGTAGCACCCTGACTTCTTAACCTTATGTACTTATGCAAATGTTTACATTCTGTTAAGATGTTTGCTTTTTATTATTGAAAAATGAATGTTGACATAAAAGAGGAGCTAAATTTAGTTTCTTTTTTTTTTTTTTTTTGAGACAGAACCTCAAGCTGTCCCCCTGGACAAAGTGCCGTGGCATTACAGCTCACAGCAACCTCCAACTCCTGGGCTCAAGCGAGTCTCCTGCCTCAGCCTCCCAAGTAGCTGGGACCACAGGCACCCGCCACAATGCCTGGCTATTTTTTGGTTGCAGCCGTCATTGTTGTTTGGCGGGTCCGGGCTGGGGATTCAAACCCGCCACCTTAGGTGTACGTGGCTGGCGCCTTAGCCGGTTGAGCTATAGGTGCCGAGCCTAAATTTAGTTTCTAGTTCTGGTTCTTTAGCTGAGCGAGTTGCATACCTTTTTTGGACCTCAATTTCTTTATATTTCAAACAGAAGAATTAGACTAGTAGATTATCTAAGGGATCTTCTAGTGCAAAAAGGTGATTTTCTCATTAGACTCCTGTGTGTTTTTTACTTTTTCTTTTTTAAAAGAATGTGAATTTATACATGCTAATTCTAGAAATCCATTTATAACCAGTACACATATTTGTTTCTAAGTCTCATTAGGAGATGGTCATGTTGAGAGTAATACAGGAGAGAGGATGTTACAGTGGAATCATTTATTTTACTTCCATAGTACTAAGAATATTAGGGGATTTATGGGTTATAGTTCAGTTCCTTTCCTTTTAGATGGAGAAGTTACTTTGTTTGCTGCTGTACTAAGAGAAATTAAATGGCAA